TATTGACATATCGACAGACTCTTCGGAGGAAAGTTTCACAACATGTTGAAGTTTCGAGCGTCGGGGCAACGAAAGTGCACTTACACGGTGAGACTTTTCTAGCGGCAAGCCAGAGTTTAATGAGTAAATTTCGAGACGAGCCATCTCTCTCTTCTACATTTTCGAGAACACATTTTCGAACTTACGAAGTGAAATTATATATATATATATATATATATATATATATTTCTTCTACTAGATTTGCGCTGTAATTTAAGAATATTTTTCTTGTTCTTCCAGTTTATAAATTATTGCATGTAATAAAAAAATCATAGTATTTGCAAATTGGATATGAAAAAGGAATGATAATCGCGATTTAAACGAAAGGGGAGGATTGAAATTCGAGGATTCGTGAACAGACTGCTCGGAAATTTCGTTTTAATTGAGGTACAAATCTGAAATTTTCGTTGCAGGTTAATCCAGGCAGTAAAGCGGCTCAACAGGGGGTGAGAGAGGGTGATTTAATTAGCAGCATAAATGGAAGAACTACCAGGGATTTAACGAACAGCGAGGCGCATGCACTCTTACGAAACGCCGGTGAACACTTGAAACTCGGTTTGAATCAGTAAGTATCCCCTAGTGATTTCTCATCACATCACGTGACATTTCCCAAATTCCCTATATTCTTCCTCCCTAGTTATTATTTATATATATTACAACCGAGTTTTCGAAGAAAGTTTTCTTTCTATGCTCTGATTTGCAGGGAAAATATTGGCTCCCCGAAGAGACGAATTTATAGAAGCAGTTTGCAGGAGAACACCACCACTGAAATTCTCACTAGTAAGTTCTAGTTCTTTTTAACTAGCATACATATAGCGATAATAAATATTGTACGATCCGTGTATTTCTTTTTCTTTCAATACAACGCGCTTTAATATCGATAATAACGGGAGAAGAAAATTGGAAAAATTTTTTCCAGCGTATTTAATTTAATATTTTTTTTTTAACTCCTTTTTGCGCAGAGACGACGACGACGACGAGAACGACCACGACCACATCGAACACACGGGTCCCATCCACAGATTCGAAGAAGAACGAAGCAAGTGAGTGTAAATTTTTTTATCTTACAATTTTCTCGCTTGTTTTCACAATCGAACATATTATCACTCTCATTGAAATTAATAGAAACGTAACTTTTCGCCATTTCCAGCGATCTACATACATTGTTCACATTGAAATAAAATCGTACTTTGTCGAGCGACACGCGATGTGTATTTTATCCCATCGTTTATATACATATATACCGTCGAGCAGGTACAAAATTACACCATTTATATACTTCAACACTTAGAATTACCAATCTATTCATAGGTAAGGACGAAAGTTATAGATAAAAGAAACTCGATCATTTTAAAACCGAACAAATTTTCGTAATAATTCCAAAGCATTAATATTCAGAAAAAAAGTAGGAATAATTTACAAAGGTTATGTATATAATATCTTTATCGCTCGCTGTGTATATTCTTTATTTTAATCATATCGTTTCATAACCTAAAAAGGACAATTTTTCACGCGTATTCTGCAAATAGAGGAACGGAAAATGAAAATCGTTTACCGACTGAGAGAGTCGTGGTGGATCAATTAGATAATTTGGTCGATCGAGGATGGCCAATAGAGTCAACTTACGATCTCGAACGATGATCGCCGGTGCGTGGAAAGAGGGCGTGACGAGCAACCGTCGCAAATTGACCGATCGTTCGAATTCGAGACAATGGGGGCCTTAAATTAACGCGTCGACAAACCGTCGCGGGCGGAACACGAAATTGTCCTCCTGCCTCTCGAATCGAGACGTTATCGTCACGCGACGATAACCAGACGGACTTGAAGCGGCGCTCACAACATCGAATACATTTAATTCTCGATTATCTCACAACCCTTTGCGCTCGAGAGGCGAGTCTCGGTCGCCACGAAATAGGATAAAATTATTTTTTTTGAGGTTATGTTGCTTTTTATCACAAGTTATTATTTGAAATATATATGATATGTGAAAAATATATAAATATACAAATATATAGAAAAATAAAACATATGATATAACTTGATATAAAATAGATAGAAAAAGAAATCAATAAATATTTAAATACAAATGAAAAGAGCAAAACAAAATTGCTTCTTTTAAAAATAGATAGTATAATATCAAAAATATATAGAAAAATAAAACGTATGATACAAAATAGAACAAAAAGAAATCAATAAGTACTTAAATATAAATGAAAGGAAATCAAAATTACAGTTTTTTTTAAAATATCGAATGTAACGTTAAAAATATACGACGAACGCACTACATCGATACGCGAACAATATTCCTCAAATCCTCATTCCTTTACTACGAAGTGTATAAAAATCATTTTACGTAAAACATATGCACGTCGCATATGCACAAAATCTATTTGTCCCGACTGAAAAAAAAAAATCATCGAGATAATTCGTACAATATACGAATCATTAAGTGGCTTCGCACTGGAATTTCTTCGTCCAAAGCAATCGAATTCCGTCCAGAAAGTTTCAGACGAAGCTCGTGACGCGCGTAACTTGCGGATGCAGCTCGAAATACTCAGGTCGTAGCATCGCGACGCAGCTGGACGTGTCGTGCACCTGCGACCACAAGGATGGATGGAGGCGCTCGTCCGTGCACGGCGAGGTGCCGCACCCTCTCTCCTTCGCCCTGCAAGACGACCCTCTTCCTCTTCCTTTTCCAACCGATCTCCTTCGCCCAGTCCTCCAACGCTCTTCGCGCCGGTCAAACGGTTTTCCACTCGTTTCGAACCCGACCAGTGACAGAATTCGTCGGAAACTGTATATCGTTTGTATACTCGAGAAAGCAAGCTTTCGTCTTTGCACGAGAGAAAAGGAGAAGAGGAGTTGTGTGAACGAGTTAACGATTTTAAAAAAAATAGCTGTTTATATAACAATTCGAAAAATACGTAAAATTTGGCGTGGAAGTATTTTAAAAGTAAACGCAAAGAATCTTGGATTATCTAAATATATATATTATTGAATTAATAAATTCGTCAGAAGAGAAATAGTAAAGGAAAGAATTTTTGAGAAAATAACCCAATACACGCTGAAAAACTACTTGCCGAGAAAAAGAAGCGTTATCCAAACAATTGTCATCGACTGAACAGAAAAGCAGGATCTTTGGATTTTCATTCGCGCTGCAAAGCAGATATAGTTTCGATCGATGAAGAAAGATCGATGAAAGTTGTTGAACGAGAGAAGACGAGCCAGAAAAGTCTCCAAATTTCGCGTTATATTATATATATATATATATCGGTGAATACGTTTGCAGTTACGCATTCGAATTACGTAATTCGGGGCGTAACGAGTTGTACGATCGATCGAAAACGGATATGTCTCCTTCGCTCACAACGCCCTCCAGTCCTAATGGCTCTCGCGAAACAGGTGTCGATCCCTCTCCCCCCTCCCCCCTCCTCCATAAGCATCGCCGCGACCAACGACTCGTGACGAAGAGAATTTGAGAAAAGGAGAAGATAATTGCATCGCGATAACGTTGGAGGATAATATTCGAATGGAAAAAAGGGTAGTAAAAAGTAAAAAACGATATATTGCAGTAATTTAACCGTCCGCGCTCGAATGGTACAACTTTTATTACACTGTTTGATGACGATTTCGAGCGACGACGATATTTATTTGTGTTTAACTTTTTTTAAATATCGCTTCACGAATAGATTCCTAACCTCTTTATATATAATTTTATAAAGCGTAGGATCGCAGAATTACATTTTTAGTTTGAATAGAGAATTGGTTAGTGGTAATAGAGATATTATTTTTGAAGTTTTCGAGTTTTGGGAGGAATATAGTAAAATGAGATTAGTTGGAGCGAAGATGAGTTTGATTTTTCGTTATTGAAAGAAGAAATTGTTTCTATTCGTTAAGAAATTGATAGGGAGAAGGGAAATAGCGATGAAAATAGAGATGCGGTATAAGAAGATGAAAAATAAGAATAATAAAACGATGAGAGCTCTTAATGAAATAAGAAAGATATCAAATAGATATTTTATCGCGATACTTGCCCTGACAAACCGAGGATGCATCTTGGCAATTACTTTACTATTAAAACATCACACGAAACAACAAACATAGACTTTAATATTTAACAAATTTTTCTTCTTTACGTAAAGATTTTACATGTATGAAATCATTTCGAGTTAGCTAAGAAATTCAAACAGGTGTGGGAGAAATCGTATGGAAGCTTGGAAAAAAGCTTGGAGCGCAAAGATTTATAATCAATAATTCTAAAAAGTTTGTGCGAAAAGATTTTTTTTATTTACAATAGTAAAACAAATAACAAGAATGATTTTAAAATTTCTTAATTATTCTTAATTCCTTCCAACGATCGCGTACCTGTTATAGAAAAGGCATTAAAAAAACAAACAAACAAATTTCACTCCTCTCCTCTCCCCAACGAACATGAGATTCCTCGACACCTGTTCCCGATGTCTCTCCACCGCGGAGGAGGACGCGACTCCAGCCCCTCTTCTCACCTCACCTCCCAACGAGCCGAGCAGAAAAACCTCGCCCCTCGCCCCTCCTCGAGGATCTCGATTCCTCGCCGTGCTCCGTTCCCTCCGCTCCTCCTTGAACGGCGACCGTGCGGCTCGATCGAGACTCGGGGAGACCCGTCGTAACGCGTCGAGGAAGATACACGAGGAATCACCAGCGACGAGCGGAGGAAGAAGAAGAAGAAGAAGAAGAAAAAATAGAGGAAGCAGGGAAACGAAGGATTCGAATTCGAGAGGAGGAAGGACGGAGTGGAGGTGGTCGAGGGTTCGAGAGTTAACCGAGGTGGAGGAGGGGGAGTACCAGCAGGCGTTGAAATTTCTGATCGAGCCCCCGGCTCGGTTCAGGAACGACG